TGCTTAAGCTCTTCCCAGATGCGATTTAATTTAGTAAAATAATCACCAACAGATAGTGAGTCCTGAGTGATTGCATTCAGATCTTGTTCAAGCTGAAAGGTTCTTATGTCACTAGGCTCATCATATATGATTTTCAATTTTTCATATGCCTCTTTGGCAGTATCGCAGTATAATATTGTGCTTTTAATTTATGAAGAAACAGAATTATGAAGCCAAGAAAGGACCAGTTGATACACTTGTAATTTCCGTATGTATGTTTATGTTTTTAGCTAGTTTTGGTTGTTTAATATTTCGGAAATTACACACTTTTGGTGTAATAGTTTAGTTTGTTAAATTCTTGTAAATTGTTTAGATTAGGTTTATTCTGAGCTCAAACAGGTCTACTATCACTCAAAGGACGGTTGGTGAACCCCAAAAGTGGAAGGAGGGTGCAAAATCACAAGACAAAGGGGAAGATCCTGATTTTTGGTCTATACTCGATCGAGTATATGTATATACTCGATCGGGTATCTTGGTGAAATTTCAAATCGGATCGGATCCGAAAACAAAGGAACATGCAGGGAAGATTTTGACCACGATCGAATGTCTATACCCGATCGGGTACACCGACATACTCGATCGGGTATGGCTATAAATTTTACTCTAATTTCGATCGAGTATGGATCGAATTCGAGTTTCTACACATACTCGATCGAGTATCTGTATATACTCGATCGAATACCCGAGCTGCACTCCCAAAAAGCCTATAAATACACCCTCTTTCCTTCACAATAGGACCCAATCCCTTCTTACATACTCTTTAGCTCAGTTTAGATTAGTGTTTTCTTTATATTTTCTATCATGTTTAGTCTCCAAATGAGGAGCTAAACTCTTCCATCTTGGTTTTGCTACTTTGAAGCTTAATGATTTGTAAGTTGTGAGTTATTTTCTTTAATCTTCTTCCTTGAATATTAATTACTTCATATTCTTATTCCATATTAATATATTGAGCATTACTTAAAGTATCAACTAGTCTTGTTCTATATATTAATTATTACTAGAATCGGTCGGTTAATACGCTTGTTATTAATTCGGTCCTTTCACAGTAGTAAACTTGGGTTGTTAATACATGCTTCTCATGGTTAATAAGCCAAGGGGAATTAATTATATTGATTAAACCAATAAACCACTTGTGTTGAGGTTATCAATCTCAATCGTTTTCATCTTGATTTTATTGCTACTATCAAGTTAATATACGGCGCTTGTTCTATATTGACTCGGTAGTAAGTTTTATTAATGAACGCTTCTCGTTATTAATAACTACCCTCGATGAACTGGATATACTCCTCGATTGAGTATTCGAGAGGAAGATAGTTAAAGATATAACCGGGATCGATGAACATTTCATTAAGTGGATAAAAGCAAAACCAAGTCTTCTTCTCATTAATTAAACCACATAACTCGTTCATCTTTGTGTTTTAATATTCTAAAAAGTTCTTCAACAACAAATCTAAAACCCCCCCTTATTACTAGTTATAAAAAGAGAAGTATTCTTTTCCCTGCGAATACGAACCTTACTACGCTATACTACGTATAAGTGTTGTATTGTATTATTTATTTTGAGTGCACCTCACGACAAGTGCACGTCAAATTTGGCGCCGTTGCCGGGGAAAGGCAATTATTTTTCTTTTTATTTTATCTCATAAAAATCAAAAACAAAAAAAACAAAAAAAAAAGAACTTACTCTTCCATTTTCTGAGCTTTCATGAGTATATGGATACCAACATATCATCCCCAAAGAGTCAAATTTCCGACTTGACTTTTCTAATAAAGGAGTTTATTTTATGTTCAAAATCTCAAGATGTCCATACATGCAACATTTGCATGTCACAAAGGCATCTTACGGATTTTTGCCCAAAACTTCAAAAAGAATACTTTGAACAAAGGAATGATGTTGGTTTCCAAGAGAGGTATGATTCATTCTCCAACACATATAACCCATACCCAAGTTCTTATTCCAGCATGTCCACTGAAGACATGATCCGAGCTCTCACTATTAATGTGAAAAATATGCAACAAAATATGTCACAATGCCCGCAACAAATGCCAAGCATTGTGAACCACATGAGCGAGGAGGAGGAAGAAGAGGAGCATACGGAGAAAGCTCAACCGGAGGAGGAACCTCAAAACTCAACTCAACCATCGGCCATTCCTGAGATCATGCCACCATTTCCTGAGGCTCTAAATGAAACACAAAGGGTGGAGAAGGACAAAGATATCTATGAAATCTTCAGCAATTGTGAATATAATTTAGACTTCTCTTTGTTCACAAATAAGCAAGGAATAACGGTGGAGTTACACAAATATTTCATACTCCCTCTTATACCACCCGGATCAAAACCCCTTCCATTGACCATGCTTAGTGAAAATCATGGACCCTCACTCTCACAATATGAAGCGATACAAATCCGGATATTTGATCCCGGAAAGATTGTCCAAATAGAGGGTCGAAAAATATTGTATTTCTATAAGAGTCACCCGGGTGAAAATTTGAAGAAGATGAAGTATCACGATCCAAGCTTGAACGATTGAACACAATGATGGCGTCGTGCCGCGACGTTAAATTAGGCGCTTCTTGGGAGGCAACCCAAGCAAGGTATGTTTTCTTTTCAGTTTATTTCGGTATGTGTGCGTGTGTAAAAAAAACAATAAAAAAAAATAAAAAAATAAAAAAATAAAAAAGTGTATCTGGGGACATACTCGATCGCGTAATCTTCCATACTCGGTCGGGTATGGGTAAAAATAGGGAGAACCCGAGTTCCATACTCGAGCGAAATGGTCAGTATTTTAAACATTGGAGGCATACTCGATCGAGTATCAGTTAATACTCGGTCGAGTATGTCCAGAAAGGCAAATCCAAAAAGAGCCTGTTTCCAGCACTCGATCGAGTATGGACATATACTCGGTGGAGTATGTCTGGAAAATCAACCTACCAGACCCTGTCTTGAAGGCCCGATCGAGTATTAAGCTATATTCGATCGGGTATTACTAGAAAACTTCATACTCGAACCCCTGTGTTGAGTACCCGATCGGGTACATCTGCGACTTAACCCCAAAACACACCCCAAAACACTTCATCTTCTCCAAACACCCATACCAACCTCGACCCCTTCTCCCCAAAACTCCATTTTTTCTACCTTCCCTCTACCATATCTCCATCATTTCCCCACCAAAACACCCACAACCCACCAAAAATCAAAATCACCCTACTCCACAAACAACAAAAACCGAAATTGGGCACTAGGGACAGTGCTTGAACTAAGTGTGGGGGAGGAGACTCATCATGGGTATGTAATCTTATTTTCTACCTTTTACTATGCATGAACTTCTTTAAAAAAAAATTGAAAAAAAAGAAATGCTAGTTAGGTTGAAAACCCAACAAAATGGGCAATCTAAGCAAAACGGGCTTGTAAAAAAATGAATGAGTTGGGGAGTATGGAAAAACAAAGAGATGCTAGGATGAAAACCTGAAAAGGCTCCTAGGCAAAATGAGAGATATGAGAGAAATATGTGTTTTTTCAGGCACTCATTTCATCTCTTAGGAGAGGAAGAAGAGAAGAAAAAAGAAGAAGAAAAAAGAGGCAAGAAGATGGAGCATAGAAGATCATTAAACCCAAGAAAGAATGTTGTTGTAAAAACTCATTTTTCCCCTTGGTGGTCTTAGTTTCCTTCTTTCTTGAACTCTTGGAAAACTCTTAAGCTGTTTGGATGTTTCTGTTTTACTCGAGGTCGAGTAAAGAACTAAGTGTGGGGGAGTTGATACACTTGTAATTTCCGTATGTATGTTTATGTTTTTAGCTAGTTTTGGTTGTTTAATATTTCGGAAATTACACACTTTTGGTGTAATAGTTTAGTTTGTTAAATTCTTGTCAATTGTTTAGATTAGGTTTATTCTGAGCTCAAACAGGTCTACTATCACTCAAAGGACGGTTGGTGAACCCCAAAAGTGGAAGGAGAGTGCAAAATCACAAGACAAAGGGGAAGATCCTGATTTTTGGTCTATACTCGATCGAGTATATGTATATATTCGATCGGGTATCTTGGTGAAATTTCAAATCGGATCGGATCCGAAAACAAAGGAACATGCAGGGAAGATTTTGACCACGATCGAATGTCTATACCCGATCGGGTACACCGACATACTCGATCGGGTATGACTATAAATTTTACTCTAATTTCGATCGAGTATGGATCGAATTCGAGTTTCTACACATACTCGATCGAGTATCTGTATATACTCGATCGAATACCCGAGCTGCACTCCCAAAAAGCCTATAAATACACCCTCTTTCCTTCACAATAGGACCCAATCCCTTCTTACATACTCTTTAGCTCAGTTTAGATTAGAGTTTTCTTTATATTTTCTATCATGTTTAGTCTCCAAATGAGGAGCTAAACTCTTCCATCTTGGTTTTGCTACTTTGAAGCTTAATGATTTGTAAGTTGTGAGTTATTTTCTTTAATCTTCTTCCTTGAATATTAATTACTTCCTATTCTTATTCTATATTAATATATTGAGCATTACTTAAAGTATCAACTAGTCTTGTTCTATATATTAATTATTACTAGAATCGGTCGGTTAATACGCTTGTTATTAATTCGGTCCTTTCACGGTAGTAAACTTGGGTTGTTAATACATGCTTCTCATGGTTAATAAGCCAAGGGGAATTAATTATATTGATTAAACCAATAAACCGCTTGTGTTGAGGTTATCAATCTCAATCGTTTTCATCTTGATTTTATTGCTACTATCAAGTTAATATACGGCGCTTGTTCTATATTGACTCGGTAGTAAGTTTTATTAATGAACGCTTCTCGTTATTAATAACTACCCTCGATGAACTGAATATACTCCTCGATTGAGTATTCGAGAGGAAGATAGTTAAAGATATAACCGGGATCGATGAACATTTCATTAAGTGGATAAAAGCAAAACCAAGTCTTCTTCTCATTAATTAAACCACATAACTCGTTCATCTTTGTGTTTTAATATTCTAAAAAGTTCTTCAACAACAAATCTAAACCCCCCCTTATTACTAGTTATAAAAAGAGAAGTATTCCTTTCCCTGCGGATACGAACCTTACTACGCTATACTACGTATAAGTGTTGTATTGTATTATTTATTTTGAGTGCACCTCACGACAAGTGCACGTCACCAGTGTATTACACTTGACCCAGGCTTGTAAATTTGGATCATCACTTGTTGGCATAGCAAGAGTTCCATCAACAAAACCCATTTTGTTTTTTAGTTTAAGATTTATTTCAAAATCTCTGTGCCAAGTGTGATAATTCCTTCCATCAAGGAGTGTAGTGACTGCTCCAGAATTACTATTGTCTGTGTGATTAAGATAGTATGCACTATACGGGTCATCATGCTCAAGAGAGCTGTCACGCTTGGTGGTTTTAGATGAACTTTCATCCGTAGTTTTACTAGATGCATCATTCATTTTCAGCACAAAATAAAGCTTAGAGGAAACAGTCAAATATGAAACAGAGAATTAAGAAATTTGAAAGAATCAAAGAGTCCCTAGGCAAGCCTAGGCTCTGATGCCATAATAAAACTCAAAATGAAAAGATATAAAGATAAAGATGAAATGCAGCGAAATATAAAATCTGTATATTGAACAAAGAGTGATTGGAATTCATGATCTACAATGCCTTAGAGGTCTTCTATTTATAGGGAAACCAAAGACTAATGATTACAAAAAGATAAGGGCTAACATCTTATCTTCCAAATAATTGAGGTAGCAAGTTGTGTATTATTTTGTTTGGTAGTTAAATCTTGCACACCATTGAATTTGATCAGCTTTTGATACCTTTTCTTTCTTCATGTTATTCCAGATGTTTAATCGAGTAATTATAACATTCGTATCGTAGTGGCTTACCTTGATTGATCTGTGTGTTCTATTCTCAAATATAATAAGTTGTTTCCGTCTTTCTTTGTCTGTTAGTTTACTGGATTAGATTACAATTTACAAATCGAGGTGGAGATCAGATATGTGACTTGTGAGAGACTTAGAGTACATTGTTTCTGCTATAATCTCTCTACGTACATAGTGCAGCTTTTTGGTATTGTTGAAGATAACAATTTCTTAGTTTTTTTTTTAAGAAATTCAATTTCCTGCTGCTTTAAAAAAAATCTACTCCGTATTTCTTGGTATTTTGAAGGGCAATTTACTTTTACCTTTTCTATTTTGTTATTTTATTTTTCAGATTGAATTTAATTTTCTAAAATCTACGTAGTATTTCATTGAAAACACATGGTGACATTTTTTACTGTAAAATAGAGTCAATCCCAATAAAAATGTAATTGTCATAAAAAATATCAATGTAAAAGAAGTGATATCAACAAACAATGATACAATGTCAAAACAATGTCAGCTTGATCAAAGACATTGACAATGCCATTATATAATGTATAATGTCATCGTCTAAAAATCAATGTCATTGAATGACAATGTAATATGATGACATTGTTTAAACATCAATGTTGTTGAGTGACAATATAATATAATGACATTGTTTAAGAATCAATGTCATTATTTATGACAATGTAAAGTAATGTTATTCCTTAAAATACAAAGTCATTGTTGAGAAACTAATGTCATTTAGTCATTATATAACAACAATGTAATTTAATGTCATTGTTCAAAAATTAATGTCATTGTTTAAAGACCTATGACATTATATGATAATATAATACTAGCGTACGGAGTATAATAAAATATAACATCATTTTTTAAAATTCAGAGTCATTGTTAAAAATCAATGTCATTGTATGACAATGTAATACTACGTATGATGTTATTGTTCAAAAAATCAGTGCCATTGTTTAAACACCAATGTCATTATATGACCATCTAATATAGTGCAATTTCTAATATAGTGCAATTTCTTAACAATCAATGTCATTATATGAAAAATATAGTCATATTTAGAAGATAAAATCATTTAAGTCCTGTTTATGTATATAGGGCTATTTTAAATTCTATTCCCAAACACCTGTCATTGCTTAAAAATCAATGTCATTATTTATAAATCAAGGGATAAGGGTCAGATAGGGCCTCGAACTTGAAAAAAAAATGTCAAATAAGGCCATATTTAGGATGCTCTGTCCGGCCGACGCCATTTGGGACGGTTCCCGATGGAATTTTTTTATGAAATTTTTTGAGAATCTTATTCATTAAGTCTAGTTTACTCATATCAAATTTGAACTAAAACTTCAATCGGGAAGGCATTCAAATGAATTCTTGAAGATAACTATGCAGTTAAAAGCGCAGTTATCTTCAAGAATTCATTTGAATGCCTTCCCGATTGAATTGTTAGTTCAAATTTGATATGAGTAAACTAGACTTAATGAATAAGATTCTCAATAAAATTCATCAAAAAATTCCACCGGAAACCACCCCAAATGGCGTCAACCGGACATAGCATCCTAAATATGGCCTTATTTGACATTTTTTTTCAAGTTCGAGACCCTATCTGACCCTTATCCCATCAATGTCATACGATCGAGGAAATAGATTCCAAACCATTTTATTACTCCCGTATGTTATTATAATCGTCAACTCATCATTATCATAATCTGTTTGCATACAACTACTTAACTCGTAGACTAGTTGAAAAGCGTTGTTTATGATCATTTTTAGAATCATATCCAGTATATGTTTAACAGTTTAAGAGATACAAAGTACGGAGTATAAAAAAAGGCCTAAAAACAGACCTAGACACTGCAACATAAAACCTTAACAAATTACAACATGAAGTCCCAGAAATGCTTCAACTCCATATCTTGGCTCATTTATATTAAAAAAATCTCGATACATCTCCTACCACCACTATCAATAGACATTTCCCTGGATCGGCACAAATTGACACAGAGGATTGCTCCTTTAGCTTTCAAATGCTCAGTCAAATCAGACTCCACCTTAAATATGTTGTGGGAAAAGCATAAAAAAGTATTAAAAGAAAAAAATTAAAATATCTAAAACTGCCTGATCGACTAGCAGGAGTTAGCACGGGAAAACACCACCGCCTCATCATCTTCTAATTAATTCCGTCATTGCAATAGAGTAGTCGCCGCCAAAACAGTCTCAGCCGCCGCAATCGCCGTTACGAATAGCCCGGTCCGCGCCAGACAAAAGAGGAGCAGCGATGATAAGCTTGCTGCACTTCTATTAATGTCGTGAAAGGAATAGATAGATCGAAGCAAAATGGGAGAAAATAAGAAAAGGAGTCGGACAGCATGGAGAATGAGAGAACAGCCTACGGAAATTGAAGTACGAAGAGAGGGGAACTTCTTTTGTTTAAGCAGGGACATAAATGGTATTAAGAAAAAAAAATGGTCCTATTTAGGTTTTAAAAAGTAAGTGGTCTTATTCAGGTACATAAGGTAACATTTAGTCCTACGGAAGACCATTTCTCAAAATTCAATGCATCACATAACATATGGATAAAAATTATTGTTCTCATCAGGATAAACGTTGTTATCATCATCAGGATAGAAATCTTTGTATTAATTATAAAGATTTCCTATCCTTATATATAGTGTATGATTAAAAAACTGGTAACATAACATGTTTATCTCAATCCATTGTGTAGAGGCCAAAAATACAGATAGAATTGAACATGGCCTAAGGACATGCTCTTAAATTAAATTTGTGCTTTGAGTATAGAAGAAAGATGCTTAAATAATTAAATCTCCAGAAGATACTTAAATAATTAAATCTTCAAATTGATGGAATGATATATACTTTTTGTATAATAAAAGAGAAATATATCTTCATCGATGAGAAGGTGGCGTCCTGGCCTGGCTAGTAGTTGGGGAAGAGTTCAGCATACAAGAGCTGGTTCCAAGCTTCAGGAACTCCGGGAACACAATAATGGCTGCAATCCAAGGCTCCATTGTACATCCCGGGATGGCCGTCCGGTCGCAACCGAGTCAACAGCGTAATGTCCAGCAAAGTCACTTCACTCTTCATTTGCCGCAGCTCACTCTCTATTATTTCTTCCCCGTCTGCAATATAGGAATCCGTGTGATCTGCCAAAGATGATTCACTTATGGGCGTTGTGTACTGGGTGCAACCCGGATGCACAGCAGTTATCCCAAGGAAAAACACCCTCGTCTTTTTGTGATCTATCTCCTCATCAACCACGCTACCCCAATGATTTAAAGCTATTGTCAATGCTTTCATGGGTACCATTGTTGGATAAACCGTATTGTTTTCTTCAACAGACTTCCATCTGTGACAGATTAATTAATACATATATATATGATCGATCAACCATCCACCAGGTCATATATTCATGTAATAATAATACTACCTATGCTTAAGTAACAAGTAAAACTACCTATTACTGCATTAAGATAACCGCAAACATCAGCCAATTACGGCGTTTCAGTCGAAAAATGGCGAGCGTTTTCAACAAGTGAAAAAGTTGTTTGTTTGGTAAATAGCGGTTCGGCACTAGCGTTTTGAGCGAATGAAAACGCTGCTAATAGGGGAGAGTTTTGGGTTGGCGTTTTGAAAAATGGCGTTTTCTATTAATTTTAGGGCCAAACCGCTAAATTACCAAGGGAAAACTATCAAATAAGCCTATGTACTATACTGAAAAAGTCGATTAGGCCTTCGTACTTTACAAACACTCAATTAAGTCCTCGAACTATTAAAAACGTTCAATTAAGTCCTTTTGGTCGGTAAATAATCGGTTTCCCGGTTAAATGTAAGTATGTAACCCGTTTCCCGACAGCCGCCGTTGTCGGGGTTCAAGGACATCATCGCCGTCATCGCCGTTTAACCGAGAAACCGGTTACTTACTGATCGAAAGGGCTTAATTGAACGTTTTTTAATAGTTCGAGGACTTGATTGAGTGTTTGTAAAGTATGAGGGTCTAATCGACTTTTTTGGCATAGTACGGGGGCTTATTTGATAGTTTTCCCAATTACCAAACATCTTCTAACAACTGGCCAATTTATTCCGCCAGCCCGCTAAGTGAATACAATCTGCTAACATAATCCACTTTCCACTGCGCTAATCGCTAATCGCTGAATACCAAACACGCCATATGATCGAAGAAATTAGCCGATAAAAATATTTTCAGCAGGAAGGGTCCACTGCAATCCCAGATCTTCGAGGGACTTAACAATATTTGGGCCGAAAAAATCAGCTTATTATTACTACGTTAAGGTCACGAAATCAGCTTATTCACGTATGTACTCCTAATATAAAGATAAGCATTGGGCCTACTTTTTTCCCTTTTTCATGGGCCTACGGACCTTGCCCATGCTGCCCTCCCCCCTAGGGCCGCCCCTGCGGTAGGAGAGTATATCTGGCTGTACCGTTACAAACAACTTTTTCAAATAAATTTCTACATGTTTTTACAAAATATTTTTCAAATTTCGGGTGAGACGGTACCTATTATGTTCCTAGCTACGCTGCCCTCCAACATACATGCATATGTGAAGACTTTTTTAATTCCCAGCCAAATAATGACTAATATACTACTCTGTACTAAAATAAAGATGACACATACATGCATATGTGAAGACTTTTTTAATTCCCAGCCAAATAATGACTAATATACTACTCTGTACTAAAATAAAGATGACAGACAAAAATGTGACTTCTTATACAAATATATGTAGTGACGATGTGGTAAATTTTTTAGTTAGTATAGTTATGTTCAATTTTAGGCTATAGTAACTTTGATGTCATAGTCATAATAATTTCAATCCGTAAGTTTAATGTTAATGATATTGTAGGAAAAACTTCCCTTTTAAGCTGTTAACTAATGTCACGCCCTCATGCTCACCGTATCCCCAAACATAAAATCTGAGTGATTTTTGAGATAGGATTACAATGGTTTCTAAGATTTACTGAAAGAATATTAATAGAATCCACGAATCCGATATTCCATTAAAATTTTATCAACTCGATCATAATTTGAGGATACGCACGATTGAATTTTGATGGGCATGCATGTAAATTTTGAATCACAATATCAGCTAATGTGCATAATTTATATATCACGAGAGATGTTGCTCCATTAAACCTCAAAAAGAGTGCGTGACTAGTAAAATGAACGGTGCTAATATAATACTCAAGAGCATGTATGTATAATATACTTGCAATGAAAGGAGTACTATAACTTACTCAAGATTGGTGCTGTGTGTATACCAGTGAAAAGTGTTGAACACTATCATATGGGCATCCTTCCACCATGCAAGGCTAGCAGGTGAGATGGTGTCAAGCCTTAGCTTTTGGCCATCCAAAAGAGCCAGGTACCTATTTTGCTCGTAAGCAAGAGAGAGTTTGTATTTCTCGAAATAGAGAGTGAAATATATTTTGCCATATACGGTGCGGACGCACGTGGCGTTCGGATCATATGCTTGAATCAAGCCTGCCAATGACATCCACTGGATTTCTGCTAAGGAGTCCCCCACAAACATCACCATTTTCCCTCTGTACTTTTCCAAGAATTTTCCAGCTTCAAACCTGTCCCACCAAAACCAGTTTCCTAGCTTCATTAATCCATTCATTTTTGTTATCATTAGTGCAATACCAAGTTACTTTTAACACTTTGTCTAGATCATGTTGTCATTCATTTCTCTTTTATGGCTCAATATAGAGGACTTCTAATAACCTCGATCTTAATATAGCACTTTATTACTTTATAGATTTGCTGTGTGGGACTCCAACACAAACTCACTCCAAATTGATATACACAGATGGGTCATTATTTGTAGCAGTGCATTAAGATATCTTACACCATTGAGGTATAAAAACACACTCACATATGTAAAATTGAACTACTCATCTTATGATCAAGTTTATCCTCTTGGGATGTAATCTCAAATCTTAATTGCACCATCCTTTATAAATTACTCCATATTATTTATTGCACTCCCTTTATAAAGTTGTATGTCTTGAGGTGCAAGGAGGGGTCAATATGATCCTAGACAATGAAATCTTGCGGGGATGGATGGACAGGAAGCCTTTTCAAGATCAGTGAAAAGTGAATCACCAGATTTGTGACTTGATTTTTAGATCAGATGTTGAAGAAAGCTAGGCACGCAATCTAATTTACTGCCAAAACTTGGCAGAGACACCAAATCCAATTACGACAAAGAAAAGAAAATGCAGAGAAAACACAAACAAATTTATAGGATTCATCAATTTTGTTTTCGTTCAATCGACAGATAGACCTCATAGAAGGAGATCATTTTATTAGGAGGTTAGGTTATTCAGAACCCGGTTGGTAATCTTTTTGGCTTATGATTCTTATCAGCCAATGTGTTCACCAAACACGTAAATTTTGATTTCGCGCGCTGAACTATGTAATAATAAGAAAAAGTATAGTTACTTTAATCTCTGTATTGGCTGAAGTTACTATAGGAAACCATTTTAGCTATTTTTCATATATTTTTTCTTTATTTTATTAATATATTTCAAATATAGTTTTTTCATAAATTAGCAGAATCAACCAATGTAGCCACTTCTGCCAGAACTTCTTAAATTTACCAGAATCAGCCAATTTTGGCGTTACCAAAAACGGGCTTTCATATTACAAAATGCACACAACGTTTTACAGAGTATACATATCACTTTAAGTATACTCTAAGGATATGTTTGAGAGTTGTGTTTTGGAGGGGAGGGGAAATGGCTATATTTAGAAAACTGGAAGGAAAATAATTAAATGATAACTACGGAGTATAGCTTAATTTTTTTTGAACAAGAAAACTTTAACACGAACTTAATTAAATTAATATAAATTCAACTATTTAAATTCTTTATATCTTTAAAGTGATTTTAATTATAATTGCTTCCTATCTAGCTCCTTTCTATTCAAATTTGCGTCCCAAACATAAGAAGAAAAGTTTCATTCCCATATTCCCCTCCTAGAACTAACCTTCAAACCTTCCCCTCCCATCTCCTCCAAACTCCAAAACATACCCTAAGCAAATTGCATCCCAAATCACATTCACGAATCGTTCCATACCAACGCGACGGGGCATCTCCGCCCTCGGACCCAAGCCAAGGGTGTGTTGACTCCTGGATCATTGACTTGGGGATCGGGCATGGAGACCCTCATACTTCCGCAGGAAGTGTGTAATCATATTTAAGCATATTGACAAATTGTAGTACTCTCTACTCCCTCGTCCCGCTTGAAGGTTCTAATTGCAAAATGACAGATTGTTTAAAAAAACTAAATATGGTAAACCGAGTATATTTTGATGAATAATGTTTTGATGAGTATATAATATAATAGGATTATTGATGATAAATGTGTGTGCGTGTATTACACATATATGCAAACTTACTTGGGGAGATTACAGTTAGTGGGCTGCCACCTATAATGGAGGTAGCTCGTATCTTTTCTGTTGGAACATTTCCGATTGTCTGGAACGAAAAAATAATCTTTGGAAGAAAACAGCGGGTAACTCTCATCATACACCCAACTTCCTGCATACAGATTGCAAGCAGGATTACTTCCTTCATTGCTAATTGAAGACACCATTTCTGCATATGGATGATAGCTCCATACTTGTAGCAGTAAGGTAAGAAGAAGAAGAAAGTGGCTAAGAGAATGCAGCAATGGACCCATACTTGCTGGTATTCCCTGGTAACAATATGATGAATATGGTAACATTGTTTTTTCCCTATTTGTAGGGGAATGCAATTCACTTTTGAATTTTATGATTATATTTCTAAATTATTTAACTTTTGAAATTCAAACTCCATGAAAGCAATTACAGTCATTTTTACCTCAAACCCCAAGTCCCCAAGACCTCCTTTCTTGACCTCGGGGTAAAGAAACATTTTGTCTTAATTTCTAAAGTTTACCTACTTTCCTTCCTAACTTGTCTCAAAAATTTTCAATTTCTCTTTAACTAAAAAAAGTGATCAACATTATTCAATTATTCTTGATTTTTTGATTTTTTTCTTTAAATATTATGGAAGCAATTTTATGGATAATTACTAAAGTATATCGTCACTGTCACTACAATATAAATTTAAAACATAAACGTGGACACTAAAATTACTACTCCAAGGTATAATAATTACTAAAGTATGAAAATTCACATTTTTATTCACTATTTTTGATTTAGTTATATATTGGTATATACTTCGTATTCTTTATTTGATACGAGTATTACAATAACTTTTTAGCATGCAGGTATTCTACGGTAATGTTTGTAAACAATTAAAAAATGATCTTCATAGGCCTTTTGGCTTAAAAAG